TAGAGGGTGTGGGAAATTAGGATACAGGGAGAAATAAATTTGTGCAGAGATGCTTGGGAGCTGGGAAGAGAGTGCCACTGCCATCTCATGGTTTTGTGGGTGGAGATGTGGATTGAAAATTGAGACCCTACTGGGATGTATTTCTGCTGAGACAGGAAGCTGCAACCATTTAGCAAATTCGGGGAAGATGCTTTGCATCCCAATCAAATGCCTTCTCCAAGCAAGGATACCACAGGCTGCAGAATACCTCACTTTTCTGCTGCAGTGCTGGGTGGAAACGAGCATCATTCTCGTATGATGAGGAGGCTTGGGGAGCACGGAGGCTTATGAAAGAAATTGATCCTTCCCTTGCAAAGGCAAAGAGGTACAAAACCTGGGAAGCAAGATGCGTGTCTCGGGTTTAACTGGCAAGGATTTGGTAGCAGAGGGCTGCAGGGGTGGCCTCTGTGAACAGAGCCCAGCAGCTGCCCCATGTCAGATCAGAGCCAGCTCCAGCCAGCTCCAAAAGGGACCCGCTGCTGGCCAGAGCTGAGCCGTGAGTGATGCTGCTTGGGCCTCTGGGAGAGCAGGTTGAAGAAAGCAAGAAAAAAGAGAGCAAGGAGTGAGAGCCAGCCCCACAGGTCCCAAGGTCAGTGCAGCAGGAGGGCAGGAGGTGCTCCAGGCACTCAGCAGCAGTTCCCCTGAGGCCTGTGGAGAGGCCCCTGGTGGAGCAGGCTGTCCCCCTGCAGCCCATGGGTCCCACATGGAGCAGATCTCCACGATGCAGCCCGTGGAGGAGCCCCCAGTGGAGCAGGTGGCTGTGGCCTGGAGGAGGCTGCGGCCCATGGAGAGCCCCCACAGGAGCAGGCCCCGGGTGGGAGCTGCAGCCTGTGGAGAGGAGCCCACGCAGGAGCAGAGGGTCTGGGGGGAGCTGCCACCCGTGGTAGCTGGAGCAGTTTGCTCCTGGGGGATGGACCCCGTGGTACGGAGCTGTGTGGGAGCAGTTCCTGAAGAGCTGCTGCTTGTGAGCAGCCCCCACAGGCTCAGTTTGGGAAGGATGGCATCCCGTGGGAGGGACCCCATGGGGAGCAGGGGCAGAGAGGTACCAAGAAGGAGCAGCAGGGGACGAGGCGTTAGGGAGTGACCACAGCCCCATTCCCCATTTCTTGTGGTGCTCAGGGGTAGGAGAGTGAAGCAGGTAGAGGGTGAAACCATCACAGTGTGAAGCTATTCATGGCCAAATCACTGTTAAAGAATCACAGACTAGCTGAGGCTGGCAGGGAGCTCTGGGCCCAGCAGACCCTGCTCACACAAGACCACCCAGAGCAGGGAACCCAGGGCCATGGCCAGGCGGCTTCTGAAAATCCCCAAGGAGGAGACTCCACTGCCTCTCTGGGCAGCCTGTGTCAGCGCTCTGTCACCCCCACAGCACAGAAGGGCTTCTGGTGTTCAGATGGAGCCTCCTGTGGGCCACTTTGTGTCCATCGCGTCTTGTCCTGGCTCTGAGCACCACAAAAACGAGCCTGGCTCCATCCTGTTTGCAGCCTCCCTTCGGGTATTTATAGACATTGACAAGATCCCCCAGAGCCCTCTCTTCTCCAGGCTGAGCAGTCCCAGCTCCCTCAGCCTCTCCTCACAAGAGAGGTGCTCCAGTCCCTTCAGCATTGCAGTGGCCCTCTGTTGGACTCCTTCCATGTCTCTCTTGTACTGGGGGGGGGGGGGGGGAAGGAGAGGGGGAAAGGACAGAACTGGAAACAGTACTCCAGATGTGGCCTCACCAATACTGAATAAAGGGGAAGGATCACCCCTTCATGGTAGAAGGGCTCTAGAAGTGTGGACAAAAACAGTTTGGGGATGCAGCAGTGTATGAAATAAAGAAATATACAGACAGAGCTGACAGTACAGAAATACTGGTGGTGTTTTTGTGTGTGGTACATCAGTTTTGTCTAGAGCAGGAAAAAAAACCCTACAAGCTGGGCAGTTAGTAAGCTTATACAGGCAACAAACGAGACACTCGGTGTCTGATTCCACACACACAGCTTGCTGATATCCTCCCTAAGTTCCTCAGCCCCAAACCTCTTTCCTTTGATTTTGTGTGGAGTATGTGATGCTATGGGTTTTTGGAGCCTTGTTGAAAATAAAGGGCTCCTTAGCTAGGGGTGATGCATGGGAGTGGAATTTGAGATCTGAACTTGATTTTGGGAACAAGCTGGTAATAGTGAAACCAATGAGAGATCCAGGTGCAGGTATCAAGTTTTCTTTCCAAATTTCTTGAAATGGGTCAGCAGTGCTGTGTGTGAATCCCCTGTGTGTATTGAGAGGAGTGGGCTGGAGAAAATGGGAGAAGCCCTGAAGCAGTGGAGCAGACCGGGAATGGAGCCAGGGACCTGCACCTGTGGTCCCATTCGAAACGAGCTGCAGTGAATCACTGTGGGGGGAGGAAGATGTGACAGCAGAAAATGGATGTAATAAATCCTGTCATTAGGAGGCTGGTACTGCACTGCTTAATGCTTCCTGATTGTTTTGAAGTTCCTGTCTGAATGTTGTTTGCTATTTTGTAATGTCTTTATGGTTTGGATGTTGCTTGTTTGTTTTCCAATTTTGTAGCAGAAGAAACTCTTAAAGAAAGCAAACTATAGATGTTGCCTTCCCATAATGAATTTGAAATATTTAAGTTTTCTGATTATCAGTTGTCCTAAAGACTTTAACCAGTTGTGTTACAGAATATCATTTTTTATAGAACTACCTGCATTTTCAGCACACTGGAGCTGAAACAGCTTTCAGCATTTTGTACGTCAGCATGGTATAAAGATACCAATATCAAAATCAGCTTGGCAATGAGGTTTCTGCTTGTGATCAGGAGTGAGGGAACTGAGTGGAATTAGGCAATGTGCACCTTTGGTGGCAGTGAGACTTTTGTGAGTTAAGCTGGGGCCTCGTTATTTATATTTATAGTTACAAGTTTTGAAATTAACTAAATATAAAATACATTTAGTCGAGATGCTTTTTTTTTTTTTTTTTTTTTCAAATTTAATAAAACAAACCCCCTATCTACTGCTGTTTCCTCAGAACATTCAAGAGCATCATCCAACTACAGTAAAGTTCAGATATTGCTGAGAAGTTCTGGAGATGCCTGTGGTCAGGTAATGAGGCTTTTTATAGGGAACAGTGATTACGTCAGAACAACTACTAGTTGCAGCTTTTAATTGTGAATAGACCTTATTTTTAAATTTTTCATTTTTAATTGGATTTTTGAGTACATCACTATTATTGTGGATAAATGAGATGCAATACCTGGAGTCCATTTTGTCCACTGAGTGAGGTTAAGAACATATACATTCACTCACCTTCCCTGAAAAACAGTTTTAAAAAAGATGGATGCTAAGTACAGTAAAATGCCTGCAACATGATGCTGTAAGCTGAGCAGGAAATATTTTATACCCCACCTGTGGAAGCACGTCTGCTGTGCTGAGAGGAGTTTAAGAGTTCAGAAGGGGAACCATAAGGGATCCTCGTTTGGTGGTTGCTCACACAGGGGTAGAGAAGCCTGGGTGCACACTTCGGCTCCCAGGTGACTGGTTTTGTCCCACTTTCGACAACCATTGAAGAAATCCAGGAATCCATTGTGGAACAAAGCTGTCACAGCAAGGTGGATCTGAAGTGGGTGGATCGCAACACTGTGGATTTTAAGAAACATGGAGAGATGTGGGAGCAGAAGCCAAGGCTTGCCCCAGGTAGCTGAGCAATGAGGGCGAGCTCTGGGTCTGTCCAGGTGGAGCCCTGGCTTCTTCCATGCTCAGCAGCATGGCCTCACTAATAGCAGCAGGGAGGAGCAAATTAACCTGTGCTTGGTGACTGGTGTGCCCCAGGCCAGGAGGCTGATTTGCATTACCTGGGGCTCAGTGTAGGGAACCGAGCCTGGATCTTCTGTTTCCTGGCCATATGCACTAGCCACCAGGCTATCAAATACAAGGGGTAGGTGAGAAGGCTGCTCTATTTCAGCCCCCTAGGGGGGCTGTGAAACTTCAGGATGACTTGGGTTTGTCACCCTTGGATTTAGCCTGATAATATGGCACTGTATTTTAATTTTGAATACATCCTGACCTAATAAAACCAATCCCCCATCTCTATGAGAAGCAGAGATATTATTTATTTTCCTGATAACATACAACAAAGGTCTTGAAGAATTTTTTGCAGGCAACCCCACTGGTGGATTAGTGCCCTAATTCAATCGGAGTTTGCAAAATACCAACCCTAGGCAGAGATAAACTACAAAGTGGAGGAGATTTTGACAATGCTAAATATAGTGAAAGCACCAGGGGAAAAAATATCTGCAATCCTCTTATATGATTATTAAAACAAAAGCACACACATGAAACCAGGGACATCTTAGAATGGGTGGCAGAGGGAGCTGGTAAGAGAACAGCCTGTTCCAGCTGGATGCTTTGGTATTAGTGCAGTGCTGTAACGTAGTAAATATTTCAGTACTCCCTGTAGGTCTCTGGGCAAGCTGGTAATGAGCACATTGGCCGTTTTCTCCTTCCCACAGCTACCTGGCACGTCCTTTCACCGTCCCTTTCTATTTGCACATTCTGTTCTCTTGCCCTTCAGATTTTTGACAAGCTTCTTGCTCATCCCTACTTCCACAACCCTCATCCACTGCCTTTCTCAAATATGCTTTTTCATCTACAACTGCACCCATGTCTGTGCTGTGGGTTTTCTTGAAGTCACATAGCCCCTTGTGCGCCCTGCTTGTTCACACAGGTCCTTTTGCACAGCATCCATGAGCAGAGCACATCGATTGTGGTACCTGCATCTGCACCAGAGCATCCCTGTGCTAGTGCCAACGCAAACATTTAGAAACAGATTAAAAAGCTCTAAGGAGTGTAACCTCACCTTCTGGCTTCTTTCTTTAGCACTTAATCAATAGCACCTGCATCCCTTCTCCGTGGAAAGAAAAAAAAAAAAAAAAAGCATTAATAACAGGAGGTCCCAGCAGGAGACTAGATTGCTGCAGTGATATGAAGCTGTGTGAGAAGCCGTGGTGGGACAGCACAGTTTGCACTTCAGGCTGTTCCAATTAAAGTTAATGTCCTTTCCACTGCCATGCGTGAAACCTTACAGGTGAGGAATGATTTTAATTATGAGTAAATTGCATCTTGTTCATGGGGCTGAGGTCAGTGATTATACTCAGAAGACATAATGAAATAAACATGCGTAAAATTGCATGAGAAAATTAAAACCTCTGGGAGAGGAGCTAGAGGGAAAACAGAACGAAGCTGAATGGTGGAACAAATAACATCAGATTTACAAAAACAGTGGGAAAAAATTATGTTATCTCTTGCTGAGGCTGCAGACAGCGTGGTGGTACCTGAACTCCTCCTGCGTGTGAGTACCAGTAGTGTTATGTCAGCACAAGCTGCAGTGCTTCCCCTGGGGCTGGCTGTCGCTGGTGTTTCCTCCCTTGTTGCAGCCTAGCCTGCAGTGCTCTTGCATCTCCCAGTGCACAGCGTGGCTCTGCTCTGACGATGCCAGCCCTCATTAAGTACAGGACTGGCACCTCGGCCCAGCGGTGTGGCAGGAGGGCTGCAGAATCGCAGGTGAGCTCTCAGAGCATGCGCTGGTTTCAAGGGATGTGCTTGGGTTTAAAAACAGTTAATGTGCTGGGGGAGAACATCCACAGGGCTCCTAGGAGCTTTGCTCTTTGTCCTTTACAGAAATTAAACATGAGATTTTTTAATGCTTTAAATACAATTACACTTGCTTGCATCTCACAAGTGATCTACATTACAGTTGCAGTTGTTTTCAAACACTAAATTATTTTCGAAGTCCCTACTGAAAGCAAGGGCCTTCTGATTTAATGTCTTAGGTTTTGTTCCAGTGAGTAGGCAGTTTGTAATCATAAGCAGTTTTGCATTTAATAACAAACTTTGAAACGTATGTGTATGGGAATCGTTGCAGTTTTTATTTGTTGAATTAATATGCCCTTTTATCCCGATAGCATACACAGCCTTTTTTGATGTTATGAGTCGTCTAACTTCAGAAGTCCATAGCACAGGTGTTTATACCTGAGCTTCTCATCTGCTCTTGTGTAGTCAATAGCAAAATGTAGGTGCTTTGTGGTGTCCTCAGAGCTGGTTTTGCTCCTTGCAGAGAGCAAGGCTCCACAATAGCTATTGCCTGTATCAACTAGATGCCCACCAACTGCGAGGGCGGCTAGGTTATGTGTAGGCAGCTACATTTACGTAGGTGAGCCCTGTGCTAGGAGCTGGGCCATAGGGGGAACCAAGGCTAGGCCCAAAATTTGTCAGGAAAAAATCTGGAAATGTCTCCATCCTGAACTCAGGAATGCTCAGGGTGTGAACAGGGAATGGGAGCTGCTGTGGGAAATCAATTCTTCAGTAAGAAGGGTGTGCTTATTGAGACTGACTTTGGCAATAGAGGTCACAGCGGTGGGTGGTGTGGGAACGATGGGTAAGGATTATTGCTCGCTGTCTCTTCTGATACAAGGACTATGGGATACTGGGGGTCAGGCTAAAAATGATGATGATAATAAAGTGGATTTGCATAGAATGGGTAATTGAGTTGTTAAACTCCTCACGTAAAGGATGTTGTGACTGCTAAAAGTGTGTGTTGCTCAGAAGGAGACTGGACAAGTTCATGGAAATCTGTCAAGGGCTGCAAATACCGAGGAGCCCAAGAAGTCCCAGAGAACAGAGATTAGTGGCAGCAGTACAGCATGTTCTTGTACTGTTCGCATGCTCTGATCTGGGCTGAATCTTAAGGAGACAAGATACTGGGTTAGATGCACCTCAGCACTGACGTTTTACAACCCTTGTGAATGATCTTTCACGTGTAGAAAGCTACTTAATCTTCCTTAATTTGGTTGCATTTATTCCAGAGCAACTATGCATGTTTGCAGTAGTATAGAAACATCTTTTCTTTTCCTGTCATGTTGTAATTGTTTGTTTTGTTGGCCTTACTCATATTTGTTTTTAAAATGAGATATTTATCTCAGGGGAACAAAACGAATGGGGGGGGATGGGGGGAGGGAAGAGGGAAGATTTATGCCAAAGCACTCCTAAAGTGCAAAAACAGATCTCCCAGAAGATGTAGATTTAACTTGCTGAGATCAGACTTTCATCTTGTCTTCCAGAATAACCTACAAAGAGTTGTTTCTGCTTCTTTTTAAATTATTTAAAATGATCTCAGAAGACTTTTGACATTTAATAATTATGAGCTTGTCCTAAAAGCTGATGAGCAGCAACTCCAGGAGTGTGCTGGCATTGCTTACCCTGCCATGAATTAATGGTGCAAAACATGCCAGGCCTCTCTTGTGGGAAGCGCAAAGAATTACAATGGGCATAATAAATACTGGAGACTTTTGATTTTTACTAACTGTTCTTCCTTTAAATGATCTTCCCAGACTTCTTCCATTGTCTTAATGTTCCTCAATTTTCTGAGGGTACTTTTTTTTTTTTTTAACCCTCGGGTGATGTGCAAGGTGACATTAATCACGAAGGAGTGCAGATAGCTACACAACGGAAAGTACACAAATCTTCTTTGCTTTCATGATTAGCAGCTCTAGATAGAGGGGCTGATGCAAATCTACCACGGGTATAGGATCTAATTAGGAAAGTCGTTACCTTGAGGCACTTCTGGTTTTTCTAATCCCCATCCAAAGGGAAGTTCACTTGCACATTGCACTTCACTTTTATCTGCTCTGAGGAAAGGAACTGTACTTATCTCTCCCTTTTGTGTTTGCCTGGGTTGATGATCATGAGGCAGGTGAAAGTGAGCCTGATGCCCAGCTGTGACCGGTTGTGTATCTGGAAAAAGTGAGGTGTGCTCTGACAGCCTGCAGCTTGCAGGGCTGCTGCCACCTCTGGTGAGGAACGCAGCATGGTGGAGCCTGCAGTGGGTTCGTGGCAGGTGAGGGCTGACAGCATGTTGCCTGACCTGAAGGAAGAGTCCATCAAATTGGTGTCATTCATCAGTTTTTGCTATGGGAAGAGCTGAGTGGAAGATCTGGCTTCAATATTTCTGAGTGTGCTGTGTAATTGTCGTTATGCAGTCACAGTTGTATAATTCTGGGCTGTTACCTCAAAAACAAACTGTTTCTGAATGTCCAGAATTCTGCCTGTATCACAGAGATGGTGAGTCCTCACAGAAAGCACTGCAGTCCCTGAGATGTGTATTTTGGACATGCAAATACTCTGCAAACTGCAAAATTCACTGACAAGCGAGATGCTCAGAATTTCCTCTCAAGCATGTGGAAATGAGTGTGCTCACAGCAGTTCTGGTTTTGCCTTCATCTGCTTCAGACACTCTTATCCCATTTCCTAGTAAGTATCAGCTCAGAATTAATGAAAAGCACATGCATGCTGTAGTAAATTTGTTTTTAAAAGCTGTATGAAATGGCTGCCATTCTGCCTGGTGCAAAGACTGTTGTGCAATGTGAGGAAGGTTTGGGGCTCGGCTGTGAGGACCCATGGAGTGAGTCAACAAGCACTGGGTGCAGCAGGAGGCCTGGGGCAGGAGAGCCCTGTGGCTGTGCGGTCTCACTTCTGCCTCTTCTGTCTCTTCCTGATGCTGCTGTCACATCTACAGAAAGTAAATCAGGCAGGGATTTGGAAAAGGCTTCCCTGTGAGCAGGCATGTGTGAAGGGCTTTGCCCAGGGAAGCTTTTAGGGATCTTAAATACCTCTGTAATATAAATGATGGCACTTGTATCACAGCGATGGTAACACGTTGCTTTTAGCAGCAAGGGGAGCTGTACAAATCCTTAGGCAAAGTAAGCGTGGCCCAGACCTGAAATAAAAACAACAGACAAAGCCAACCCAAACAAACTTTTTTATGAGTAAAGCTGTGCTCAGAGTTGAATGAGCCCGTGGCCTTGGTGATAACAGGTAATAAAATATCTGCGATAACAGATACCTTGAGAAATTACCCACTATATAAGGGCTCAGAGGAGTGTGCACTAAGCTCCTTTACATTTTCACCTGCTAGCACTATTCCGTGCTTAGTCCCATGGGTAACATTGAACTGCTCAGCTTGGAAGTCAGGGGAGGAGAAGTGATGTATGTCTGCAAAGCAGAAGTGCTGTGCTGGAAAACAAGTGTTTATTTCTCTTTTTCCTGTTCCCAGGGATTTGCTCCAAGAGAACAATTTTTGCCTGGTCAGAAGCAGGTACAAAAATTAGTGGTGAATGTGCAGGGTGAGCTGACTCATCTTCAAAGCAAACCACCTTAGAAATGGCAGCAGAAAGAGAAGGAGGAAGCTATGTCCAGGGTCTGTGATGCTACCCTGGCACATGGCAGGAGCAGTGACCCACTGTGCAGGCACACAGCAGAGCTCCGAGGCTGTGACAGGCAGGAGGGCTGTGCTGGTGGTGGCTCCAGGTCTGCACGTGGAAAGCACCTGCTCCTTTTACCTGTCCTTCTGCAGGGCTCAGCCTGCAAGTACTGAGCCAGCTACATAGAGGTTCCTGAAATTGCTACCTGGAGGTTCCTGAAATTAACTCTTGAGAAGGTCTGACTCCAAATTTTCAGTCATAAACAGCCACAAGGCATAGCTCTCACATCAGCTGAGCATATTACTGAAATAATTGATTTTTAAATTAAAGCTCTGAAGAAGAGTGAGGAAAGTACCTGTGTTACCAAATGGATGCTTGACCAACAGCTGTTTGAATCAGTATGCTAGAAAGCTTCTATTTCTCTTCATAATTTTCAGACTGCTGTTTTGCCTGATTCTGAAGCAGTAGATGAGATCTCTTGTAGATGCCATGCGTATTATAAACCACACTTTGTAGTTTCCTTGCCTCTTTGAGGTAGATGGGGAGGAGCACAGACTTGGTACACAGAGGTGTAACAGATGCCACGATCACCTTGTGAGACCTGCCTGTGTCCTGCTGAGCTCTGACTTTCTCACAGACTTTGTATTCTTCATATGGTTATATCAAGCAAGTTGACATAACAAAAAGGGATTTAAGGCCAAGAAATGAAATTGCTCAGTCCGACGAACCCTTACTTCAATACCTCCTCACTCACCCACCCATCTACCCACCCACTGCTTTTGCACCGTATTTTCTTATTTTGTTGCATTGAACAGGGTGAGATTCTAGCTCAGCTGGGGTGTGGGAGCTGAGCACTTCTTTAAAAAAAAAAAATAATCAGAAAAATCTCAGAGAGATTATCACCAAGATATGAGGTATTTCTCTAGGCTGTAGTAATGCAATCTAGTCCAGGGACTTATGTGTTCTTCTGATCTGCATTTGGGAATGTTTCTGTCTGAAATGCCTTCAGACCATTGACCTATCAAGCACACATTCCTCACTAGCATGAGTTCAGCACTGGGCAACATCTGGGACCAGCTCTTCAGAGACAGTTGTGATTAGCAGAGTCTGATAGTTCGTGCTTTGGGAAAGGTGTGAGTGCTGCCTGACTTTGTACAAGGAAAGCGAGCTGAATTCGAAGGCAGAACAAGATGTTCTCTGTCTTTTTTTTTTTTTTTTAACAACAAAAAAAAAAAGCCAACATCTGAAAGCACTACAGTAAACAAATTAGAAAATCTTACAGCAGGGTAACCCTCGTGTGGGAGG